CGATGCTACAGCCTACAGTATGTGTGTGAGCGCACTGAGCGGACTGCGTGTATATGTGGACTGTGTGTATATGTGGACTGTGTGTATATGTGGACTGTGTATATGTGGACTGCGTCACTGTGTGTCGAATACAGGATGCTACAGTATGAGAGACATTGTGAGTGGACTGAGTGTATATGTGGAATGCGTATACAATACATGATGCACAGTCCACTGTCCACACACACACACTCCACATAATACAGCACATATGGCCACGCAGTCCACATTTAGAAACAGAATCCGACACAAAGTCCACGTATACACACATACGGTAGCATCCTGTATTGGACACACAGACCAGATATACACAGTCCATTCACGTAATGTAGCATCCTGCATCCGACACACAATCCACTCACACAAATACTTTAGCATCCTGTATCGCACCACTATCATATGATAAGGGATGTTGTTTCCCTCCCCCTTATTCATCTGCTGTTGGTCTGTCCGCCCTCATTGACCGCACAATCGCACTAGCGCCTCATAGGATGTATCCCATGGTTACCAACTGACCACATCGTTAGGGAAGTTTCATTTCTGGACAAATTCCAACTCAAGAAAGACTACCGACAGACACACACACACACACACACACACACACACACACCCACACACACACACACACACACACGCATACAGGTGACGGGAGGAAGAGAAGCAATAGGAGCTGGAGGTACGGACTCAAAAAGCTGGACGATTCTACGGGCGAGCACATACAGTCCTCTCTCTCTCCCTCTCTCTCTCAGCTATTTTTCCTTTTTTCCTTTTCGTCTGTTTGTTTTCTTCCCCCGCTTTTTTTCCTTTTTTTCTTTTGTCTTTTTTCTTTTTTCTTTTTTCTTTTTTCTTTTTTCTTTTTTCTTCCTTTTCCTTCCTTCCCCCCCCTTTTTTTTCTTTTTTCTTTTTCCTTTTTCCTTTTTTTTCTCCTCTTTTCTTGTTTTTTTTTTTTTCTTTTTCATTTTCTTTTTTTTGTACCATATGTGTGATAGCACAACCCCGGGTTCATGAATTAAACCCCCGGGCAATGGGAACCGGCTAACTGAGTTTTTCGAGAGCAGCCCGCTCTCGGGTCGTGACGAATAAGGTCGGGAACTGGGGAGATACGTCTGCGCGTGGTATCGTGAGTAGGCCGTGGTTTTGTCTTAGTCTTGTGGCCCTGTCGACTTTTCATTTTTTCTTTTMTTTTCTGTTCTTTTTTCCCCCCTCTTTTTTCGTTTCTTCGCTACTGTCATTTTTTTTCCTTTTTTCCGGTTTCCTTCTCATTCCCATTTTTTTCCCTTTTTTTTCCTTTTTTCTTTTTTTCCTTTTTTCCTTTTCTTCTGTCCGTTTTCTGGCCGTAGGATAGATGCGTTTAAATAGGTCAACAGGAGCAATAGCTTGCATCGGAAGGCTGCGATTCTTGAGCACACATCGTGACTATAACTGAACAGAACGCAGGGGGCTCTATTCATCAGATCACCGTGTGGTTAATGGTTCCGACAGCCAACGGGGCTTCCGGTTTTCGTGATTGCGAGGGGTTGAGTGAGGTGTAGGGCGGCATGGATTTCTTCGCCGACTGGGACTTGGAAGAGGAGCAGCAGGAGGTGGAGGAAGTGGTAACATTCCTGGCAATCGGCACTTTCCCAGTTTTGCTTTCGTGCCTCGACTCCTAAGCACTCCGAGGTCGGGCGATATGCATACGGCCTCTACCTGCCCTGCTGAACCGGCTCCGCCCCACCTGCCCCCCTCCGCACCATCGCGAAGCGTCGCGTTCATACTCCTCTTCCTCGCCCTGTTCCCCAATCTCGGCATAGCCTGCGCGTTGCTTGTTGCTTGTTTTTCCGAGAGAACCTTTCTCCACTTATCGCCCAGGCGTTTTGCATTATTAATCGGTTGCACTATCTGCTTTGCAACCCTTTTTCCCGCCAGCTGCTGCTGCCTTTTCTTTGTGTTGGGCACCGAGGGGTGGCTTAGTAGTTAGCCAGACAGCAAGCGCTGCAAGGAGCAGAACGATGGAGCATAGAAAAGTGGCGGAGGCTTCGACATGCGCCTTTTTGGCCTTCCTCTCGTTTCTCTCCTTCCTGTCCTTCCTCTACTTCATCTACTCCCTCCCCC